TGAGCCTCTTTCAAATAAAGTTCTCGTCTTATTTTAAAATCTTCTTCAAACACCTTTAATTTTGGTATACTAAATTCGGAACATGATTCAAAGTGTTTTAAATTGCAGTTTTTTCCAAAACAACGGGAACAAAAGGGACAATAATAAGTTGTTTTGAACCCGTTATAAATCGTAATCGTTTTGTATTTATGCAAATTATTTTTTGCGTTTTGAATGCGCCGATTTTTTGAATCTCGTTTTTGTCTGGGTGTTTTGTCCATTTATTTATTCAGTTTAGTTTGGTTTGTTTTTTTTAATTTTAATGTATTTTTTACATTTAAGAAATCAGGAAAAATATTTTTTTTGTTTGACATAATTTATATTTAATGATAAAAATGTTATAATTGTATCAATACAAATATTTTTTTATGAATGAAGAAATGTATGTATTTACTCATATTTTTAAATACAACCAATAAAAAGTTTGAAAAAGAAAAAACATAATACAAGTAAAACAACCAAAATAGCGGGAAATTTTATACATGCAAAAAACATCTTTTTTTCTGATCAAATTGATAAAAAATTGGTTTTTATTACTTTTTTTCGACTAAAAACCTAAACTCGCCCTTTAGCGGATAAATTTGGGGAGCCCTGTTTAAAGTTGAGAATGAAGGTAATCTTTATTAAAAATATATTTCTGTTTGCAGATCAAATATATTTAAAAAAGATAAATTTTGACAAATCAAACATTTACTAAATTTCTTTTTTTAATATAAATAATAAACACAACAAAAAGTTAAGTTTTACAAAAAGAAATTAATTTTGTTTTTAACAAAAAATAAATTGTATAATTGAACATGATTTGCTGAATTTGTAATTATATTTTGTTGAAAACGTCAAAAATCCCATAAACCAACAATCCCGAAGTAATAGCCCATATGTGGCTGTTATACCCCATCCACCGAAATCGATCCATCCACAGCAACTTTTTAGGACGATTTCCCAAAATTTTGAAAAAATATTTCAAATTTATTTCAAGTTCTCCATTTTTCGTTTTACTATACTTTTTATTCAACTACCAACATAAAACTATACTTGGAATATCGGAATACATTTTGTAGATCATAGTGTAAATTACTCGTCATTACAATGTATCATTACCAAGATCATTTATCTGATACCGTTATAAAAAACAATTTAAAAAAAAACAGTTTTGTTTTGATATTTTTGGTATGTTATTTAACGATTTGTTTTTTTAATAACGAGCAAATATTAACTAACAAATTTAATTGAAATCAATGTATTCAATTATATAAAAAATTAACTATATTGAAAAATAAATTAGCGTGTAAATTAAAAAAAAAATGTAAAATTAAAAAAATAATGTTAATAAAAGTATCATAATTAACATATTGAATGATAATAATAACGTAGTAATGTGGCAGATAACACCATTTGGTAATATTATTTTTTTTATAAAAGAATTTTTGTTATTTGAAAATAAATACTTTTTTTAACGACAAAATTGAATTTATTTTACTAAAAAATATTTGTATCCAGCAAAAAAGCGTGTATTTACTGGATTGACGCTTTTCCAGTGGATAGACGCCCATCCATTAGTATGCCCTAAAAACAAACACAAACACATTTTTTAAAACTATTACTCTAATTAAAAAACCATAACAAAACCATAACTGTAGTTGCACAATTCTTCTCAATTAGTTTTTTTGGGGTTGCTTATTCAACTGTCTTGTTTACCGAAATTTTGCAGTGAAAAAGTCTTTGAATTTTGCTTGTCATATTTTTCGCTTTAAATAAACATATAAACCAGAGGTTTAACATTTGCTCCATCCACAATCAATATCTAACACTGTTTTTTGTTCTGCATGACAATTGGAATTCCGGATTGTTAATACTTTCCACTCAAACAAAGAGTAAAACTTATCATTCAAATATCTAGTTATATTTTATGTTGATTTTTTTACCTAATGTAACTTTTTCTTCCTTTTTTGTTCAAAACTTTTCCCTTTTGTTGCAAAAAAAACAAAGAAATAATAAATTAGCACACTTATTTGGAATAACTTTACATGTTATTTAAGGTGTATATTTTTAGTTTGAAACACAAAAACAAAATATAATGAAAAAAGATAAATTCATGTGTTATTTATTTGAAAAATCAAGAACAGTAAATAATAATGCCATATTTTCAATAAAGTATTTGTGTTATTTGTTTTATTAAAAATAATTGCAAAACTATTTAATCAGATAATAGAATTTTATAGTTTTTATTATACTAAATCGAAATACTTTTGCGTTGATCAAACAAAAATGATAAAAAATATATATCGCAATAAAATATAAAAACAAAGGATGTTAAGGAACAAACCAAAAAAGCTAATAACTATTATATGTTTATTATTTTTTAAAAAATAAAATGGGCTTGTATTAGCACCAAAACTGATTAAGGAATAAATCTATTATTCCTAAAATTAAAAAAACTGAAATGCAATTTTGAGACTGATGTATTTCAGTCAAAATTAAAAAAATGAAAAATATTATACGATTGACGATTCAACTCTTCTTCATAGTGTGTGAACTTAAAAACACAAATGTTTGAATTATTGAGTAAACTTTTCGAATACATTGGGTCTATCTTTAGTTTTGGTTACTCGCCTCAATATCAAAGAAGCCTGTTTAACACTTTAAGAATGACTCATAAACTGCCACTATATACGCCAAAAATATCTCTCTATTCGGAAGTAGAATTGGACGAATACTGTTATTCCAAAGATATGAATACTTTGGTTACAAATTCGAAATTACTAATTCATCCATTAGAAAACTGTTCATATAAAAGTCAGAATCAAAGAGTCAAACCATCACACAGCAAATACATTTATTCTGATAGACCAAAATTCCAACGGAGAAGCCACCGATATGTAAAAAAGCAAAAGAGCGCTAAAGTTGTGAATCACTCGGCTTCTAAAAGTATCAAAACACACGCTCCAAAGGAAAAAAACTTAAATGGTTTTATACAACAAGTCGAAACTCCAATTGTTGATACCCAAATCATACAACAAACACCACCTCCTGTTTCCCAAATTTCACAACCATCAATTCCAATACAACCAACACAAAATGATGAAAATGTGCTCAGTGGAAACTTAGATGTGATACAAGACTCAACACCATCTCATCTGTTTATACAAACACCCTTTTTCGAATATAAACCAAATCAACAATTTCATATTCAACAAATACAACAAAATGTCGGTGTTGCTGATCAGTTAAATTCTCAATTCTTAACGCAAATTCCAACAACACAACAGAACCAACAACAAGAAATCACATCTGTTTTTGATACTGGTATAAACCAAAATACACCGTTTGTCAATCAACAACCAACGGTTGTTCAACAACAAGCAAATACGTCAATTGGAACAGCTTTACCAACAATGCCAGTCGCAAATCAAAACACTCTTCCTGTCGATGTTATACAGAACAACATCAAAAATGTATTTCAACAGAGTCAAAGTCAACAAGTTACCAACCCATTCATCAACCCAAATGTGGACCCAAATGCTATTGTAGACATACAACAATACAATAATCAAATATTTAATAATACTTCTTCATTGATGCCAAATCCAACTCAAAACGCACCACCAATGAATGTTCAACAAAATACTTTTCAACAAAATTCTCTTCAACAGAGTCAAAGTCAACAACAAGTAACCATCCCCATAACTGATACAAATGTGAACCAAAACACGGTTGTTCAACAACAAACAAGCCAACCAATTGGAACAGCTTTACCAACAATGCCAGTCGCAAATCAAAACACACTTTCTGTCGATGTTCAACAAAATCCTCTTCAACAGAATGTTTTCCAACAAAGTCAACCACAAACATATCCTCCTGTTATCAACCAAAATGGTAATCAAAATACACTTATTATGGATAACCAAAACACTTTTGTTCAACAACAAGGAAACCAACCAACCGGGATAGACACAATGCAAAGTACAAATCAACATCCACTTTATGTTACATCAGCACCGGGTATTGTCATAGAACTAAACAAAAATACGATGACAACAACCGAAGACAATACTCTAAGGAATCCAGAACAAGTAAACCAATACAATACAGAATGTGTCCCAACAAATGAGGAATTGGAAGCCTTTTATCATGGACGACCAATAGATACCCGACAAAATGAAGTTAATGGTGCAATGAAAGAAGATGTAATAAAACGAGGATTTTCTTCCCTTGACATCAATGAAATGTTTTATCATAGATATTCGAAATATTATTATATCGATTGGAAAACAAAACAACTGTTTTATCATATTGGACCAATTGAAAACACCCCTCGGGTACTTAAAGAATTGAGTTATTCGGAATATTATTATCTTAAACTCTACGATGGAGTCATTGATGATGAACTGTTTGGAAAAGTACGTAACTTCTATAAAAGAGATCAAACAATCGACTTAACCGAACTTATTCAGGACAAACAAAAAGAAAAAACATATGGCGGCCACTCTGTATTCGCGTTCTTGTATGGAAATAAAATGGAAATGGCTAATTAATGAGTATTTTCATATCCAATTTAATTGTTCTTATGGATAAACTGTATTTCGAGGAAATATTAAACTTAATAAAAATACATTATTACATTTTTCTTACAAATGTTATGTTTACTGTTAATAAAGTAAAATCATGTAACTTATTCAAGTTGTATTCAAACACGAATTTTCATTCCATGGTTTTATTACTATTTTGACATTCTATACAAAGTCCAGATATACAATTTCTATTTGTTAATTTTATTTGCAGAACGTTTTGATAAACATATTTTAATTCTATTATAAATGGTTTGATATGATAAACTATAAATAATTCAAAACGTATTGGAAATGAGTTTTATAAGTGATAATAATCCATCATTAATAATAATTATTATAATTATTATATATATTATAATATAATATATTAAAATAAAAACATTAAAAATGTGATATAAAGACTTAACACATTGCTAATGCTTGATCGAGGTCGGCAATGATATCATCTGCATTCTCAAGACCAATTGAAATTCTTACCATTTCTGGTGTGATCCCTTGTAGTCTCATTATATTTTCTGGGACTGCCGCATGAGTCATTGAAGCTGGGTGTTCAATAAGAGTATCAACACATCCAAGTGATACCGCCAACGTACACAATTTAACATGTTCCATCAATTTCTTTGCCGACTCAAATGTTTTTAATTCGAAAGAAAAAGTGCTTCCAAACCCCGACATCTGTTTCATTGCCAATTCATGATTTGGGAATGTTTCTAGTCCCGGGTGGTTCACTCTTATGATTTTTGGGTGTTTTTCTAAATAACGAGCAACTTTCAACCCATTTTCGTGGTGTACTTGCATTCTTAAAGGTAAAGTCTTCATCCCTCGAACACATAAGAAAGCGTCCATGGGCGACATTAAACTTCCAGCATCTTTTCTGTATGTTTTGATGATCTCAATGTCTGCTTTTGTTTTTGTTGAAGTAACACCAGCAACAACATCGCCATGCCCATTAATGTATTTGGTGCATGAATGGAGTGATATGTCGGCACCCAAGTCTAGTGGCTTCATAAAAACAGGTGATGTAAAAGTGCCGTCGACAACTAATCTTGCACCACGTTCATGGCAAATATTGGCTATAGACTCTATATCGGATATTTTATTAGTTGGGTTGGCTGGAGTTTCAAGATAGACCATCTTTGTGTTTGATTTCCACGCATTCTTAACATTCTCCATATCGGAAGTGTCGACTAAATCAACTTCAACACCAAAACGTGGGAGCCAATGTGTAAATAATGATACAGTGCATCCATAAAGGGTATCTCCAGCAATCAAATGTTCTCCTTTTTGGAGAAACGCCAAAACAGAAGAGTTGATCGCTCCCATTCCACAAGAAAAAGCAGCTGATCCTTCTGCATGTTCAGCGTTTTTGACCATCTCTTCAAATTGTTCAACACTTGGATTACTGATTCTGGAGTACACATGACCATCAGCTTTTCCTAAACAAATATCAGCACCATGCTTTGTTGAATCGAAACAAAATGTAGAGGTTTGAAAAATGGGGAGAATATGAGAGTGATTTAAATGTGTTTTCTCAGAGTGAAGAAGCTGCGTTTGTAAATTGTTCGAGTCTGACATCGTGCTAATGGTAATTTGTAAAATTCAAGTTAATAAACAACTTAATTTATGTTGGAATTTAGTTGATTGTAATTGAAATAAAGAATACTTTGGAATTCCAATCATTATTTTCAGATTGTAGATCATCATTTTTAGAAGTTTTAAATAATTTAATGGTTAGATAAAAGCTCAATGAAAACTATTATTTTTAATAAAAATTATATTTAATAACTGATTTAATGGTTCTTTTGTCTAACCATTAATGTTATTAATGAAATTGTCATCGCTTCAATGTTTTATTAATTTCTTAATTATTCCAATATATTTTCAATTCATGGCTTTTAACTCACTTCTTAATTTTGAAATTTACTTGTACAAATGACTCATTTCTTTGCTTTTTGACTCACTTTTATAAAAGAAACTCACTTAAAAACAATTTACTGTTTCAATGAGTTTTTAAATAAATAATAAATTGAAATGTCTCTAAAATAATCAAAAACTTGACCATTTGGTCAAACTTGCAAACAGTCAAAATAATTTAAGTCTTGACTATGATAAAAAACACAAATAAATAACATATAACAGACTTAAATAAATCTTTTGTTATTTAATTAAAGTTTCCAAAAATGTATGAAATAAAAAAAACAACTTGATTATTTGATTTTAATAAATACTCATTGTGTTCAATAATTATTTCGTTGTCATAAAAGATATTGTCATTTGAAACACAATCAAGTAAAGGTGTTATTACACATTGAAATTATTTATAAAGTCTGTCTATTAACCTTCTTTATTTTTTGGTGTATATTAATGAAATTTTTCCCAGGCGTTTCCAAAATAATTGTTGCTGGAAATAATGAACATTTTAGTTATTAAATGGTGACGTGGGTAATTAGAATTGAGATCTTAAAAACATCCGATCGGAAAGAGAATGTATTTCAAGATTTTACTATAATATAAAAATTTAGATAACAATATAATTAAATTTACAAAAATTATTATTATATAAATAATATTTTTAATTATATATAATTGTATTTATATATAATAATTAATCAAATAAAAATATAATAATCAATAATAAAAATTTTTTGATAAAACTCAAACCCACAAATCGAAAAAACAACATTTTTTACGACTATAATATAATATATTAAAACTTAAAAATTCAAAAATAATGACAGAGATACGCCCACTGAATGGCTACGACTATCCACTGTCATTTGTTTGCATTTCTTTGAGTGACACTTTCGACAAATTTGACTTTGAACTTTTTAAAAAAGAAGTTATTAAAGAAATTGTCAAATACAGCCCATTTCACCTTGATATAAGAATGAAAGATGGACATCCATTTTGGTACAAATTTGATGATAACTGGCTTTTTGAAAATAGCGATATTTTTGTGGTAAAAATTCCGTTCAAAGAAACTGGAGAAGTAGAACCTGCGAAGTATGATTTACACAAAGAAGGGACTCCACTCTTCTGCATTGAATATTCAGAAAATGATGTTGTAAGTCGTGTAAAGTTATATGCAAACCACGCGATATGTGACGGGCGCACAATTGCCAATTTATATCAAATCATTAAAAATGCAATTCCAAATGAATTTCACATGGACTTCAATGATGAAGAACTTTATGATTATGACTACCGAACGCTCTACAAAATTGAAGATAAATTGTTGGAAACAAATCCGAAGTGTTGGGATATTCCAAAAGTTGCAGCGGTACCCCCAATAACAGATAAGTGCGAATACATTAATATGTACAACTCTTTTGATTGTCAGAAAGTGATTTCATTTTGCAAAAAGAACAAAATTGGAGTTCAGGCTCTTTTAATGGCTTCACAAGAAAGAGCAACAAGACGTTTCATGAAGTTTGACAACTCGGAAGAAATCTCAGTGTATTGTCCAAGTGACACTCGGATTTCAAAATATGCAGACGATAAATTAAAGCATCGAAATTTTTACTGTGCTGCAGGTGCTAATTTTCCATCTATTGTGGGCAAGGAAAATCTTATGGAAGACATAAAAGAGTGCAATTATAAGATACGAGAAGCAATGAAAACGACGGATTGTTGTGTGCAAGTATTAATGTCGTTTAAACAAATTGATGAGAAAACATTGGTGTTCACTCCAATCAAAAACGCGCCAGATTTGTCGAAAATGAGAATTATAACATGCTCAAATATTGGACTATATGACCATATGAATGACCCATATTTGGGTGTGTTGTGTCCATGTGATGTTAACTCATTCTCAGTTGTGTTGTACTCGTGGCATTCAAAGAATCATTTCCATACCCTCTTTTTCTTCCCAGAAAAACTCAACAAAGATTTTGTTACGGAAATGAAACACGAGTTGGAAAATGTTATGAAGTTTGTGTGTGAAAACTAAAACTTCTAATTTAAACATTAATCGTTTATTATTGGTTTAAATTATGGTTAGACAAAAGAACCATTGAATCAGTTGTTAATTATTATTTTTTAATAAATAATGGCTTTCATTATTAAAATTTTAATTATCATTTAAATTTTTGTCTAACCACGACAAAATTCTACTTTGATTTTATTTTTTATAACTAAAACTAACTCAAATGGAGTTAGTTTTAGTTTTTTTTTAAAGTCTTGAATTATTATCTAAAATGAGATTGGTGTTTTTATGTGTTATAAAAAAAAACACTTTATTTATAATTTATTATTTAACAAAGTTAATAGTTTGTTTATAATAATTATTTATACATTATAATAAAAAGATAAAAATTAGTTTTTATTTTTTGAAAATAAAAAAAAATATTGTTATAAGTAACTATTGATAATATAATATTAATTATAATTTTTTTGAAACGAATTTAAAACAATTTTTTTTTATTGTTATAAAAACTTTGAAAGAAAAAGTGAGGTGAAAAAAAACAATATTTTATTTATTAAAATAATTAAAAATCAAAACATTGAAAAAATTACAAATTTTTGATAAATTTTGAATTGGTAAAACTGAAATAATAAAAAAATTGATGGTGAATGATAAACTCCGATTTTTGTCGATTTTAATAAGTTTACTATGTATAGCGTTTTCAAAGAAATTGGATTGTTATGAATTAGACAACAAAGGGTGTGCTGTTTTTAACAGAAAGAGTAATTGTATGTACGTGGAAATAGGAAATACAAATTGTGTTGGTTTCTATGGTTTTAGTGAATCAAAAGTCATTGAAATTCTGTTTACAATTCAAGAAAAAGTAGAAATCAATTCTTTTGCTTTTATTAATTCGACTTTTTTAAGAAAAGTTTCGACGAAATTTGGATTTTCTAAAATTGGGATTTCCGCATTTGAAAATACTCGTATCGAATTATTTAATTTGTCTGGAATTGTTTCTATTCCACAACGAGCATTTTATGGAGTTCACCCTACCTCTTTTGTTGGGACAGAACATATAATTACTATTGGAGCAAAAGCGTTTTATAACTGCCAATTAACTTCCTTTACGTTTGCGCAGGAAATGGAAATGTTGGAAGATGAAGCTTTTGCGTTGAATAATTTCACTTTTTTAAAACTTCCAAAGAAAATTAGAGTGTTGTCCTCTAAAGTTTTTTCAACAAATTTAATGCTTAAAATAGTTGACATGAACAAACTTCAAATTGACACAAATGATTTTTTTGAAAATTGTAATGATATCATTTTTATGAACAAAATGGAATTAAAAGGCAATGTGAAAACTGAAACATGTCCAAGTGAAAAACATTTTACTGTTAATGGCGAGTGTAGAAAATGCAAGTCAGGGTGTTTAAAATGTTTGGATGAAAACACATGCGAAGAATGCATATCGGGGTATTTTTTAAAGACGGAGGAATCGCCAAGTAGTGATATGAATATAAGTTATTGCGCCGATTGTGTTATTCGCGCATGTTTAACTTGTAATGCAACGAGTTGTTTGACGTGTCCGCATGGAAAGGTTTTAACCTCTACCGGGCTTTGCATTGTGTGTAATGAAGCCATAAATAATTATGAATGTAGTGAATGTCACAACATCGAAGTTTCACCCAATAATTTTACTGTAGAATGTGACGCATGTAATGAAGGCTACTTTTTAAATTCAACAAAACAGTGTGTCACATGTCCGACGTGTGGAGATTTGGGGTGTTTTAATGTGACGACACCAAAATGTTACGACTGTGAAAAATCAAATGTTTTAAATGATGGGAAATGTGAAGTGACAGAAACATGTACAAATATTGGTGATGATAGTAGATGTATGAATTGCATTGAAAATTATGTTTTGGTAGGGTTTAAATGTGTTAAAAATGTAACGAAAGGGGTTGATACTATTTTATATAAAAATGTATACGTCTCAAAAAGCGATGCACATTGTTTAACAGTCTCTCAGTATTCATGTATAATGTGTGAAGAAAATTATTATATGAACGATTCTATTTGTTTAAAGTGTGAAGACATCTTCGATAACTGTGTTGAGTGCCAAATTTTAACAACAACAGCAACAAAAAAGTCTGTTTGCACGGTGTGTGTTCCTTCATATTTTCCAGAAGTCACGTGTAAAAGATGTTCAACGATTGGTGGATGTTTAAACTGTGCTAATTATGCTAATGATAATTCAACATTTATCAGAAAATGCATTAAATGTGATTCGTATTATGAATTAATCAACGGAGAGTGTGTATTTTTAGAACATTGTATTAACGCAAAGGATGGGAGATGCACGCTATGTGAAGATAATTTTCTTTTGTATGAAGGAAAGTGTTTAATTTTGAATGAAGTTGTTACTGGGTGTACTTCTTCAACAGGGGATGTGTGCACTTCATGTGGTGATGGGTTTTATTTTGATTCCAATAACAATTGTAGGAAATGTGCAATTGAGAATTGTCATACATGTGCATCTGATGGTACATGTTTGGAGTGTTTATTTAATATGTCACTCATAACCACCCCTCCTTATTGTGTGAATTGTGAAACTATGGATGGATGTCATCTTTGTAGTAATACAATAAATTCAACGTGTTTGCAATGTACAAATTCATATTTTACAAAAGAAGAAATGTGTTATTCGTGTAATGAATTGAATATGTGCGAAGAGTGTACTTCGAAGTCTGCAATATGTTTAAAATGCAAAAAAGGATATTTCCCGGATCCATATACAAGTTATGGATCAAGCAATTCAAATTGTAAACCATGTTCTCTTATTTCGGATTGTATTGAGTGCTCACCAGTTGATACTGTATGTACCAAGTGTTCAAGTAATTACTTTAATGATAAAGGGTTGTGTAGTAAATGTATCGAATATTTTTATAATTCCATTGAATGTAATGCCACATCTGCTTTAACGTGTTTACCTGGCTTTTATTTAATGAATGGATTTTGTCTACCATGTGATTCTTTATATGGGTGCCTTTCGTGTGAAAATGAAACGAAATGCACGAAATGTATATCAACACTTTCTTTGTTCAATAACACAGTGAGTGGTAATATCGAATGTTCTAAAGACTGTGGAATTCGAAGTTGTATTTCGTGTGATTTTGATGGGAAGTGCAATAAATGTGACATACCTTACACTTTGAATGTAACAACAAACGCATGTGTATATTGTTGGGAAGCTCAAAAGAATTGTGGAAGATGTAAACAAGACGAGAACAAATGCGAAATCTGTGAATCAAACGAATTTTATCTTAATGCAAATGGAAATTGTATTTCATGTGGATTGAACATTAGCAATTGTGTTGTGTGTTCTTCAGAATTGGGTTGTGAAAGTTGTGAAGATGGATATGAACTCACAGCTGACAAGAAATGTAGTTTAAAAACAAAACAACAGAATGATGAAAAATGGAATAAAATAATTTGGAAAAAAACCAACTGGAAAGGAGAAAGCCTTCAATGCACTGCAAAACAAATTGAAGTTGATGGGAGGTGTCAAGAAATAGGATTGAACAAGTACAAAACTAGTAACACGACAGCTGATTTATGTAGTAATAAATTGTATGGATGTTATTCATGTGAATATACATCGGAAGCGGCATTGAAACAGTTTGATACAATAGCACTTCAGTGCACTTTTTGTGAAGTTGGAAAAGCATTTGAATCATTTTCCATCCGTAAATGTGTTGAAACTTCAAATGTTATTGATACCACGGGCATTAAAATAGCATGCAAAGAAGGATGTTCTTCATGCACAACAACATCAAATTGTTTCTATACTGATTATTTTAACTCCACTGCACGAGATGAATATTTGTATGAGTACATTAACGATAAATATTGTTTGTATCATCAATTAGGAATTGGTTGTATCCAATGCTACAACTCGATAACATCAACTGGAATTTGCGAAGATTTTGAAAGGAATTTCACATGTTCTATAATATTGGAAAAGAATGGCCAACGCACATGTGTGCCTTATAATGAGATTTTACCAATTCAAAATACTATTGAAAGTGTAGAAATTAAAAATTCAATACAATTTGAAGCAATGAAAAATGATGACACGAATTGTAAAGAATTTGCATTTGGAAGATGTATGAATTGTTCTATGGGATATTATTTGAACAATGAATCTCCCCCAAGTTGCGTTTCTTGTATGGAAAATTGTTATTCTTGTACAACATCGAGTCGGTGTGAAATATGCAAAATTGGGTTCAAACTTGTTGATGAAACAACGTGTACAAAAATAGAGAATTGTTTAATTCCTTCGTTTGAGGGGTGTTCGACATGCAATGAAAAATATTATTTAAAAAATGGGGAATGCATTACATATGACGGATCAAATTGTGAAAGTTATGTTGTTGAAGGTGCAAGTGGAATTAAATGCATAAAATGTGTAACCAATTACATTTTAATAGCAGGAAGTTGTTATGAAAAGTTGTTGAAAAAATGTGATGTCATTGACTCAATTTCATCGCAATGTATTAAATGTCAGGAAAATTACACATTAGACGCATCAAAAAATTGCATTCAAATTACAACGGATTTTTGTTCTTATTCGTCGAAGTATGAATGCCTCAAATGTAATTTGGAATTATCGCTTGTGAAAGTTTCTGGAAAGTCGGTTTGCTTAAAGGAAGTTCAGAATGAGTTTTGTATTGAAAATAGTGAGACGGGATGTTTAAAATGCAAGGAAGGATATTACATTTCTGGTAAAGATTGCCGCCAATGTAACAAAAAGTGTTCAACATGTTTGAATAACGCGGAGAATTGTATCACTTGTAATTTTGGGTATTATTACGATTTGATGAATAAAGACTGTAAATATGTTGGAGATATATCTCAAAGATGCAAAATATTTCTCCCTGATGGATTGAGATGTGCTGTTTGTCAAATGGGGTATGTATTAAACACGTATGATTGTGTCAAATGCAGTGAAAAGTGTGAGAATTGTGTAGGCAGTCCAGATGGGTGTGTTAATTGTAATACAAATGGAGGGTTCTATGAAGACGTTGAATATTCAACAACAGAGAACAAAAGCTGTTTGTCGACTTTAACTTTATTTAATTGCAAAAGAAGTGGACAATATGGATGTATGGAATGTGAAAATGGGTATTATTTGAATGAATATAACAAATGTCTAAAATGTCCAGTTGGATGTGAAGAATGCGAAAGCAAGATGTGTACGTCATGTGTTGATCAATATGTGTTAAATGTTGTATCTAACCGTTGTGTTGTATGGACTTCAGTTTCCAATTGTAATGCCTATGACTCAAAAACAAAAAAATGTTCGAGGTGTAAAGGAAATTACAATCCGAGTGTATCAGGTGATGAATGTATTTACAACACTAATATATTGGCCATTGTACTTCCAATTGTATTTGGATTTTTGATAATAATACTGCTTATAATTGTTATCGCATTGTTGTTATTCTACAAACACTTCAAAACCGAACAGAAAGTTTGGAAAGAACTTGTTAGTGAATTTTACATCAAAGACCTTCGAATAAAGGGTGTCAAATTTAATGAATTGGGTGATGCAAAGAATCACATATTGTCTTCTGCTAAAATAATCAAATTCACAAATGAAATACCAGTCTGTGAAGATTCTGAGTTTGATTTCTATTTGGCCAATGATACATACTCAATGCTAAAAATTCAATTTACAACAAAAACGCAAGATGAAAAGTTTTTGGTTGATGTATTTCCTGCTACTGTTGTAACACTACGTAAGGGACGTGCAGTAAAGTACACTGTTTCGATATATCCCCTCTGTACAACTGATTATACATTTGACATTATATGCACAGCACTTGACTTGAAAAAGGGATGTGCTCGAGTGTTCAATATTCCTTGTGAATTTTCGTCAGAAAGATCAACAGCACTCGACCCAGACGAGTTAATAAAAGACGCGAAAATGGGAGAGGGATCATTTGGTATAGTGTATTTGGGAAGGTATAGAGGAGAGAAAGTTGCTATAAAAGAGATGAAAGAAGCAGTAATAAACAAAATTGATAATACAAAGAAAACGCTGTCTAAAAACATTACCATTAAAATAAACACAAATGAAGCGAATGTTTCATATTCACAAGATAAAAAAGAAAGTTTAATGGAAACAACAAATCTGTCGGGAAGAAGGCCATCACTCTCACCACGTGGAAATACACAACGACGTCCATCTTTCAATAACAAAACAAAAACTGATCGAAATGAAACCAAAAATTATAGCAAAAATGAACAAGGGGAAGATACTAAAATGTTATTTGCTAATAAAAAGATGGACGCATTTGCAAAGGAAGTTGCCATGCTCGATAAATTTAGAAGTGAATATATTGTTCACTTTTATGGAGCTGTGTTTGTACCAAACCGAATATGTATTGTCACTGAATTTGCTCAATATGGATCTTTAAGTGACTTGATAAAAGTTAAAAAGGGTGAAGACATCGAGATGAAAATGCGAATCAAACTAATGTTAGATACGGCAAGAGGAATTTTGTATTTACATAACAATGGAGTTTTACATCGAGATATTAAACCAGATAACACACTTGTTGTGTCCCTCAGTTTTAATGACAAAGTGAATGCCAAATTGACTGATTTTGGCACATCGAGAAATATTAATAGCTTATGTAACACTCTGATGTACACCAAGTCAATTGGAACACCAAAGTATATGGCGCCTGAAATTACAAATGTCGAAAAATATACTTTGGCGGCTGATGTGTACTCGTTAGCAGTGACTATGTTGGAATGTTTTTCATGGACAGACCCATTCGATGAAAAAATGTTTTTATACAGTTGGGATATCACCAATTTAATATCAAAAGGTCAACGACCAAAAATCAACATTGAAAATGGAGAAATTAAAAAACTTATCGAAGACTGCTGGAAACAACAGCCAAATGAAAGAATTTTAATGAATGAAGTGGTACAAAGGCTTCAAATATTATTTGGATAATACATTTTATTTGATTATTTTAACATTTCTGTTTATTTTAATTAATGTTCTTATTAATATAACATGTTACTTATAAAATCAATCAACTGTTATGACATCTTCATGTTTCTTGACTATCATTTTGTCACAACTTTTCTGTCTTACAAAAGTCGAAGCAAACACATGAACAATTACATTTTTGCACTTCTCAAAAATTAACTCATTTTTGTTTGAACAAAGAGACACAACTGTTGCATCTTTGAGATTTCTAAAAATGCATTCCGTCTCAAAAAACACTGAAATTGTCTTTAAACACTTTTCTTTTTTAATTGTATCAATTTCGTTTTCATTCATTTCTGATGACCAAATTTTTTCTTCTAAAACAAAATTTTTCATTTTATCAAATTCCACTTTTTCAAAAATTAGTTCAGAGAAATTAGCTACCGAATTCACAAATTTGGCATATTCTACTTTGACCTTCTCTGGACACCCAACGTTTTTATAAAATGTCACTTTGGAGTCGATCACCTCAATAGTCTCAGGTTGATTCATAATTCTCATATTTCTTAGTTCACTTTTTTCAATTTTTAAGTGTTTGATATCAATATTCACAGTTTTAATGTCGTGGTGATTGTTCCATGCCATATTTGTACACTTTGTAAATGTCACAACTTCACTAATAAATTCCAAGAATTTCAATTCGATATTTTCAATACCAAAAAATTTGACCTGACTAAAGTACAATTTTCTCATTTTGCCAATATCTGTGATTTGTGTGTTGTCTTTAAAAATGTATTCATTTTTATCTTCTAATATACAACTTGAAGGAAGTTCGGGAAGACTTATGTTTTTTGATCCACGAATTTCAATCTTTTTTGTTGACATAAAATCGTTCACAAATCCCAAATTCTCACACCCAACAATTTCAAGTTTTTCAGTTGTGTTTTTAGCAAAAGAAATTATACTTGTTTTGCAAAAATAAAATTTCAGAATTTTTAGACCCTCAAAAGGAAGTAATAGTTTCAAGATCCCATCTTTTTCAAAATTCAAATGAAGAAGAGTAAGTGTTTCAACAGCAAAGAAGTCGAAGAGCAATTGAGTTTGCTTGTCAATGGTTAAGTCTTTGACTTCTAAAGTAAAAAGAGGAACAAATGTTGAATTGGAAATAAACAATTTGTCGACTTTGGTTTCGAAAAGATAATGGATTTTTATTGTGTTCACAAATTTGAGAGAGTCAAAAATTTGGTTTGTGAGGTTTATCTCTTCACAGTCTGTAAAGTCAAGAGAGCGGAAGGACGTCTTTGATTCCTTTTTGTTCTTTTCAATAAAATGAACAAAAACCAATTTGGTTTTCTTAAAATAGAACGTTTGCTTTTTATTAGCAACAATTTCAAAGGTAATATTTTGACAATTTTTCACAGAAAAATTATCATCAGTCATTTGCGGAAGTACAAAAGAACTATTTTTACAATTTTTGATTGAAAATACCTTTAAATTCATTAAATTTTGAATGTTAAGAGTATAATCGTCGGTATCTAAAATTTCAATTGTTTCCAATGACATAAGTGGGAACTTGTACGTTTCATTCTGAATAAAAAATTCCATTTGACATTTGTTTAAAAGTAATTTAACTCCATTTTTTATCGTCAGATATTTAATTCCATTATTTATGGATTTAAATAGAATTTCGACATTTCTTTGAGTCTTTCGATCATGTTTATCAGCTTCTAACAATACTTTTTCAGGAAAAACTCTCCAATAGTTAAACTTTGGTTTCGAGTTGCTGAAAATACCATTTTGAGAGGTATTGATGTGTTACATCTGAAAGTCGAAAAATCATAAGAGTCGTAAAAGTCACAATTGAAAACAGTGGAAAGTGAGGCCGTTTTTTCTATTACTTCAGCAAGATCACCAAAACAAAATTGGCCCATTCTACTCTTCACATCTATAAGCGTTTTTCCAGGGAATATGGGTTTGACGTATTTAATACAATTGAGAGGAATTTTCTCTGCAAATTGCGATGTTGAAAAATCAAAGAAAAATTTTGCGATTTTTTCGTCGACTTCCAAATTTCCACGCCATTCGAAATGGATTTCAAACTTATATAGTTGTTTCATTTCAACTAAAAAATCTCCAAATGTTTTCATCGAACAATTTTCATCGAATATTGTGTCGTAAAGCACAAAAGTCACTTTTTCTGGGAAGAAAGCGGGAGATATTTTTTGTGATGAAAATAGTTTCATTAGTGAGTAGAAAGAACGAGGAGAAATTGATATTCTGCGCATGTTTTTAAAAAGAGAGATTATGTCCAGTGGATTTTTAGTGTTATGCTTTGTAAAGTGTGAAATTTGGGCACTTTCAACCTTGCTTAAAAAATTGGGGTTTTTTGAAAATCCAACCAAAAAGCGCCAATTCACTTCACGTAAAAAAGTCGAGGTAAACTGTTTGCAAGATTTCTCGGTAAATTTGAATAAATTTGGTGGAGCAAAATTACCAAGATTTAATGTGTCAGGCGCAAATATTTTTTCATATTCCAATATGTCACACAAACTTGAAAAAAAGGGGTTTATGTGTATCGACAATACAATTTGTTGGCATTTTTTGTTAATACAAATGAATTTTTTGACGTCTCTCAAAGTTTCTAGATGAAGAAAAACATTCATTAAAAACACAGACTCTAGTTTTGTCATCAAATTAATTTATTTGAAGTTCACGTATTCTAATATGAACATAACAACCAAAGGGTTTTTTTATTAAAATACAATTTAAAATAATTTATTAAATTATAATTATAATACATAATTGGGCATGAAGTGCTTTTTTGCAATAATTTTTGCAAAATGCATTTAAACTCCCCTCATCGTTGGTCCCTTTATAGAACATTAGTAAAAAATAAACAGTTAAATAATTATAATATATAGAAAATAATATAGTAGTTACAGTCGGAGAAATGAACTAAAATTTCTCTTACTGTAAGAAGAAATTATAGGAATTTTAGTAAATAACGTGAAACACATAAAAATACAGTTTTGAGATAAAACCCTAAAACAATAACATTTTTAAAACAAAAATTCAAATTACATTTTATCAATAACATAATCCATAAAACAAAATAACAATAACAAAAACCAAATAACAAAAAATACAATAATTTGAATAAAATTTAATATACAGTAAGTGAAATAAGCCTATAAAAAATAAAAGAATGGTATAAAAACGAGGGTGTCGTTTTAATTGGTCATTTTTTGAAAATATTTGCATTATTGGTCAATATTTCAAAACCCTGTTTTTGTAAAAACACATAAAAGATACAATTTTTGAATTATATAAATAATAATAAACAAGATGAAATATAAAATTTAAAGTCATTCTTAAAACCGTGCAACTTTGACGTGTCAGTGCAACTTTGTTTATAATATAATTATAGTAAAAAAATTATATGTTTTTTAGAAACAAAACAAGAAAACACAAACAAATTTTATTAAAACTATTACTCTAATTAATATACTATAACTAAACTATAACTAAAGTTACACAATTTTTCTCAATTAGTTTTTTGGGTTGCACCATTCAACTGTCTCCTGTTTATCGAAATTTTGCAGCGAGAAAATCTTTGAATCACACGAATTGGCTTGTCTCATTATTTTCTTTTATAAAGAGATGTTTGACATCTGCGCCATCCACAATCGATATACAACGCCGTTTTATTCGTTTTGTATGACAATTGGAATTCTGGAATTTTTATGCTTTTTAATTAAACAAGCAGTTGAACTTATCATTTAATTATCGAGTTATATTTTATGTTGATTTATAACCTAATTCTACTTTTTGTTATTGTTATTGTTGAAAAATAGAGTTTCACCTTTGTTGTGAGTAAAAAACAAAGAAAAAATAAAGTTGCACACTTATTCGGAATGACTTTACTTATAAAATTCCCGAACAGACTTAAAACGAAGACAATAAAAATTGAATCAATACAATACTCTTTCCTTTCGATAATTTAAGTACTTTCTTTTGCGAATATAATTGATTTTGACCGTCTTTGAGTTTCACAGTACAATAACAAAACTACCCCCTGTTTCTTCCATGGGTATAACAGTCATACCTCTGCTTGATTCATTTCAATGCCCGTTCCTCCGTGTTAACAAGAAAAGAGATCTCTTGTCGCTACCGTCATACCCCATACCAAAGTTCATCCCCTGTTACCACTTTCTCAGTCCTTTTTTCGTGACTTTTTGACTATTGATAAAGAACTTTTAGTCTTTTTCCCTTTCATGCGTAAACGCTTTTTCAAGCTCAGTTTCTTCTACTAAATCTACATCCGTCTTTTAGGATTGATTCACCATATTCCAATTAATGTTGTCTAGGAATTTTTCTCCTCTTCAGTCCTTTGATATTTTTTCCTCTTCTAAGTATCTGCTACTTCCACCAAGATCTGTACTTAAGTCTGTTCCAATAGAAGTTACTTCTTTACCTTTATAACTTTCTGAATTCTTGACACCATGCATTTCCTTACTCCTCGTGTGCCTCAGCCTCCACAAGGATACAGTATCACTCTCTCTCATTATAATACCTTCCATTTTCAGGGCTCATCCATTCGATAGGTGAGTTGTTACACACTCCTTAGCGATTTCCAACTTCCATGGCCATCGTCCTATTGTCAATATGAATGAACACCTTTTATGGTTCTCCTCATGCAAGACTTGGATACTTTATCCGTATGTTCGGTTCATCCCGCATCGCCAGTCCTGCTTACCAGACTTGGCCGATTTGAAGTCCGCATATGCTCACTCCTAATAAATGTTTATCGTTTAGAATATCTCGACTATTCATAGTTTGTTAAAATGTTGAAAAGTCAAGCTCTCCATTACATCCAATCATTATCTTTACCAATCATCACTACTTTCTCACTTCAACCTTCCTAAGGGAATATTCAGGTGGAACCAGCTACTAGATAGTTCGATTAGTCTTTCGCCCCTATACTCATATATTGCAAGTAATTTGCACGTTAACACTCCTAA